TAGAGGTTTAAGTGCCAATCTAAGTTTCTATCCTTGGTATTTGCTTAAAGATTACAAAAAAAAAAAAAAAATCCAGCTAATAATTTACAAGAAAACATAATGAAAAAGAAACTTTTTTTGCACTATTGGTGATCTTTTCTCTGGAGGGTTCTTCAGCCTCTTGCTTTGAGTGTAAGACCCAAAGTTTGGAAAGGGGTTGCCTCTGTATCTGCTTTTTGAGTCAGTTTTTGCATTCTTTTTTCTGGAGGTGATTTGTGCCCCAAGACAACCCCAAAAAAAACTTAGGCCATGTGTAGGGGTTACAAAAAGCTACAGCAATTTCACTCGTGTTATGCATGCCTTTGACCTACACAGTTACCCATGAGTTCAGCCTAGTTAGACAGGAATATTTATGGAGTCAGGTGTGTCTCTTCATGCCATCCTTCTGCCTCTGGGAAACATCTGAGTTATGTCTCCCTGAAGGTGCAAGAGGGAGTGACTTTTCTCCCAGTTCCAATCCATGTTTCAAGGAGGCATCACACCTGAGAGCTTTTCTTGCTCTCTTGCTCAGGTTTTTGCATTCTCTGCCCTACTGCCCCACAGCTTTGTTATGCAGACCCAGGCTCTGGGGAGCCTCCTCTTTCTAGCAGCTCTCACAATTCTTCCCAGTTCAGGGGAAAAATCAAATCAGAATGTCAATAGCATGGAGCTGAGTCAACCTTCTCTCAAAATCACAGACCATACAGCATTGGCACGGACACCTCGCAGAGCTCTGAATCTGGAGGAGTTTATCTCCGGGGCTTAACTTTGAAAAACATCTATGCATGAAAGAACATGTCAAAGGAACTTGCCCTATGCTCACAACACACAACTTCTGCTTGACTATACAGAGCTTGTGGGGGTTGAGGGTTCTGTACATTTGTGTTTGATGTGGTTTGATCTAGACTAGTGAATCAGTAGCTTTATTCCTGTCCAGACCTTAAATAGGCAATTAAAAAAATAAGCCTCTTCAGCAAGCTCTACTTCCTGCTTTCTTTCCTCATTTCCTCATTTCCTCAGGCTTGGAAGTTCCCATGCAAGCCCCTCTGAAGGCACTGTTAATTTAAGCACCATCTTGCTGTCCTACACCATGGAGATTTAGGGCTCAGTCTTGAAATCTGTGCCTGCTCCTGTAAGCAATCCTGTTGCTACATGTTTGCTACTCTGGTCTCATCATCCATCCCAAAATCACAGCTCCTCACAAGAACAGAATTAGGAGGACATTTCAGAAGTGCCATGATGTTCAGAAGGAATAACATAGCTATGTTTTCCAACCACCTCAGAAAATGCAGACATCATAAATCAGCAGAGCAGAGACAGAACTGGTTAGTACAAATATATTTCATAACAAAAGGTTCAACAGGATCCAGCTAGAGCCAGCACAAAACAATGTGGAGAAATAGTTTAAGCTGATTTATTGTAGTTTTTCAAAAAGCAGGCCCTCACTGAGAATAACTCATGAGTGGTCTAATACAGGGAGAAGGGAGGAAGGAAATTTCAGGTGGGGGTGGGAGAGAAAGAATTATTGGGTCCTTGCAAGTGCACAGCTCTGGGTAAATCTCTGCAAAGTCAACATTTAGGATCAGCTGTATTTAGTTTCAAGGAAGCTTTGAAGTAATATTTTAGGGGACATGAAGCAGAGATCAGGGGTGAAATGCCTGGTGTGTAGCTTAAAATTCATGGGTTGGATCTTCCCACCCCTTTCTTGGATAAAGCTGAGGAGGAGGGATTCTAGGGTTACATGGAATGCCCTAGGGAGACACTCCTCACTGATATCAGAGATGGGATTTGCCTTGGCAGAACTGACTGCCAGACCTGCTGCTCTGAACCTGCAAGACAGACGAGATCCCTGGAGATCTGGGCAAGCCAGCGTTGGATCTGAGCTTTCCTGTGGCTGCTGCCCTTCCACAGAGCACAGGAAGCCTTGACAGAAGGATCATTATTTCTGTTCCCAGTAAGACAAGGGGTAGGCATTGCCACACACACAGGACCGAGGAAGGGATGATGGGGGGGACAGAACTGCTCCAGAACCTGACTGGGAGGAATGCTGGAACTGGACATCCCAGTGCTTTGCTGTGCTTCAGCCCTTGCTCAGTACAAGGGTTACCAGGGAGGAAAAATCCCCAAGGGGTGCTACAGGGATAGATGCACAAAGTAGTCAGTGTCTGTGCAAAAAAACTGTGCAAAACACTGCTTAAATGGAAGACATCAGCTGCAAAATTCAAGTCAATCTGAAATCACCCCCAAATTATTCAGATTAGCTTTAGAGTGCGGAGGGAGACTATGCCAAGAAATAAAAGAGTTTCTGGCACAGATCCCCTTGGAAATCAGGAAAAGTAAAATACTTCTGGCTACTTTTATTAAAAATTAACTTTGACTTGGAAGCAAAGCCACTGCAGATGAGTGATGGCTGCAGGGCCACCATTCTCAATGGAGAACCAACAGACAGGGAGTAAGAGCAAGAACAATTTTCACAGACTCTCCTCTTCACTTGCACTGAATGTTTAATGATTTCCAAAGGGACAAAAATGACTGTTTAGCCAGTCGTGTAGCAGCTTCTTCTTGAAATCGAAATGCAGATACTGCCTAGTGAGCCAAAGTCTTGAAAATAGAAAGGCCTGTGTAATGAGATGGGCTGTCCTTTCCAAACATGAAAAAACTGCAGTTGAAGGGCAAGAAGCTTCTTCTGCACCGTCAATATTGCTTAAACTGAGCACTACTAACTAGTTCAGCACTGCATCTGCTCTCTGAGCAAAAAAAGGGTTTTTTTTATATAAAAGTATGTCTCTGTTTCAAAGTAGCTGTGAAAAACCAGTTCCTTTTTACTGAGCTCCCTTGAAGTCTTGGCATATTCAGAACATTGGAACCTGTTCCAGTGACAAGTCATAATTGCTGCTGTAAGTTCATAGCCTGACAAATCCAACTCAACCCTTCAAGAGAAGCTTCCTAGAGAGGAACAAGGTGTGCTTAATTAAGGAATGAGCTCAAGACATGCAAGAATGCTTGTTACATGGCATCCCAGCCACATATTGACAATTTAATCTCATTTTTTGGCATAGCACAGAAGATGGAAATAAACAGCAGCATTCCTGTATTGAGGTAAAGCATTTTGGATATGCCTCTGTAGCTTCCAAATGATGGAAATTATTTTATTTACTAAAGCCATTCCCCCTGGTTAGATCCACACAAGTACATGGTAATGTTTAAGTCCTTAGGAACATGCTGCTTGCTCAGTTATTTTCAAATATTTGTTACGAAGGGCTTGTGGTTTGAGACAAATAATCAAGTACTCCAGAGAATATTTCATCTATATGTTAAGTGGCATTTGCTGAAGTCCTCTAGGAAAAGTCTGCAGACTTCTTCTGACCTCAATTCTTTTGTAAGGTATTTTTCATGCAGGACATCACTTGTAGTCTGAGCTCAGGTGCACCAGAGGTTCTTCATAGTCAATCCCCCTCCAAATCAATGGTTCTTAAAAATGTTTCTTTCCATGGGTCAGGCTGTAGCCATGACTCTGACCACCTACAGTTTCAAGCTGCTATTTCAGGGAGTGGATGGTACAGACAGCTCATGACCAGCAGTACCAAAAAAGGTGTTACAGGAAGAATTCAGCTCAGCAGCCCAGCACCTGTGCAGGGAAGAGGCTGAAAAGCACACACCTGGCACAAGAGCATCAGAACATTTCTGAGCTATTCCTGCATGAATGAAGTACTTTGATCAGGCATTTGGGGTTTATATGGGAAAATCTTCACTAGCTTTAGAATCACAGAATGGTTTGTGTTGAAAGGGACCTTAAAGATCCCCTAATTCCAACCCCCCTGTGATGGTCAAGGACACCTTCCAGGAAGAGAGGGGTGAATAAAAGAGCAAGAAAGGAGATGACACTTTACTTGCTCTGTGAAGTCAAGATATTATGTTATTATATCTTTTCCATAAAGCACTAACTGAGCAATTCCCAGTTGTATGGCAATGGTTTAAGCCTTCAAGTCCCTGACATACTTAGACCAAATAATAACCACTGTTTGTGGCCAGGCAATTCCACTCCTAATGTGGAACTCTTGATTACTTCCTGCACTGAGTCAATTTCCCATCCTCACTTTTACCTTCCTGATCCAATTTTGTCAGCAGTCCTCTATGTTGGCAGAGATCTTAATTAGTTATTCTTAATGAACTGACACACTTGTTATAAGTTCAGATGTCAGAGGCAGCATGAGTCTCTAAATTGCCAAGTTTTTCCGCTTGATTTTCCAAAACCTAGGGTGGAATTATCTTACAAACTTAGAGGCAGAAACTAAAGGATTGATTTCTTAATCGTAAAGGGCTTATGTATATTTTAACATATTTTGAGATTAAACACATTAATTTCCAATGAAATCTTGGCACATCCCAGTGCTGCACTTCAGCCTTGCCCAGCTATGAGAGGAATCTTTGCAGCAAGAGGCTTTACAGGCTCTGTCAAAATCAATATCAGCAGCTAGTCCTCTGGGAAATTAGGAATGTCACAGGCAAAACGTTTGCCAAGGCTTTCAGCACATTCCAATTAATTTACTATTCCATGTTTGCTGTAGACCTGAGGTAGGAAGGAAAGTTGAATATAAGCAGTTAAACATGAGACATAGAATGCTGCTGAGACCATGATCACTGCAACAGGAGCTTTAAAGGCTGAAATGTTTATTCATGTTTTGAAATGTATTTTAGAAACAGGTGAGGAGCAATGATTTACCTACAGATGACTTAAGAGTTGGATACAGACTTCAGCCTATGGTTGGCAAATCGATATAAGTTATTTCTTGGTTGCAATGAGCTAATCTGGGTGTCCAAAGGCTTTAGCTACTGTAGGCTTGGCTCCTAAAATGTTATTTTATTTCTAACACCAAGGTAGCTTTACCTCTTGCAGTGAGGGCTGCCATGCTAACACAAATAAGGAACCTACCTGCCATGAGTTTTAATCACTGCCTTGTTGATTTGCTCTCAAAAAGGGACAGATGTAACAGCCTTAAGCTCCAAAATGTGAATGGGGACCTGTCCAACTTGAGGTGCAACTACTAGAATAAAGGTGGGTGGTAACAATATAAAAAAGAGTATTTAGTTAGATGAGTCCTTGGCTGCAATCATTTTAGGTACAGGCACAGAAAGCCAAAGGCACGTAGGATGTCTTTTCTGCAGAAAAGCTTAAAATAGAAAAGGAAATCAATACTCATTTACAGTATCTGGCAGTCACTGAACCAAAACATACATGTACACCTACAGCTGAGCAGAAATAACAACATTTATTTAAACCACAAGCTGTTATTCTGCTGCAGGAATGCTGTGTTTCATGTGGAACACTTCACCAGAGACTGTACCACATATTTCTGACCATTTTTAGAAAATCTCAACAATATCCAGAGCAAATACTTTCAATACCACAGTTATTAATCCCACCAGCCAGGCCAGCTTCAACTCCTCTGATTCCTGGCAAAGGAAGAGTGAGAGCTGGGTGTGTGTGAGAAGGGTGTGGAGGAGAATGTGCCCAGCAGGAAGCAAACCTCTGATGGGCAGAACCCTTAAATAATGCTTCAAAAGAGAAATGTACACCTGTGTGTAAGAATGAGGCAATGTTTCCACTATGCAAAATTATAGGCTTCAAAGGAAGGAATAGTGTTTAACAAATCAGCATTCAAACACCGAAAGCAAAATGAAATGTAAACAGTGAATCTGCTGATTGCTTGTTTTTTTCCATTCCCCAGCTCTGAGAAATGTGACCAGTAAATAAACAGGATAAATAATAACAGCAGCTGGCTTTTCTACAACACTCCTCATACAGAAAACCCCAAATGCTTTACAAATAGTGCAAGCAGGCTGCTTGCAGAGGTCACACAAGGCAGAAATGAGTGGCACCTCAAGAGATTCTCTGATCCATTACCCCATCCCAAGCAAGGATCAACCCTTCTTCCCACTGCCACATAAACTGAAGCACAGAGGTAGAAAGCCTTTCCTGTGGCAATACAGCATGCCAGAGGCAAGGATGGACACACAGCATGAGTAAAACCTGACTCTAAAGCAGCCAGCAGGAGCATAACAGCAGAGTTAAGATATCACTGTGGGTTCCCTGTGCTACATGCATGGGGCCACAGCTAACCTGGAAAGAAAAAAGCCAATTTAAAAAAAATCTTTCAGTCCTAATGAATTTATGGGCATCTAATAATGTGGGAGAGATGCTCTGTGCATTTTCAGGACAACCTGGGCTGAGATGCTCTGTGCCCCTTGTTTGGGGAGGATCAGAGGATGACTGAATGCTGATTGCTTGAATGTCTTTTTAATAACATGAGATTATGAATGATGCTCAGAATACAGATTTTAATGCTCCAAATATTGTAGACTATCTCTCACATAAAATTGAAAAAATGAGGAAAAAGCTTAACCATTAAGTCAGCTAGATGTTATCTTTCAGGAATTTAATTACTTACTGCTTCCTTGTCACTCCTCATGCCTTTCACCCAGCAAATTAAACCATTGCAGATTTCTGGAATTGACAGTTGAATTTGAAAGCCCACTGAGATAGTTTTGAAAATAAAAGTTAAAAGTATGTTGAAAAATTATAAAAATAAGCTCATCTTGTCTGTTGGTGAACCAACTAACCTGCTGACATCTACAGCAAATTAAACCAAATCCTGTTCTAAAGAAAGGCCAATGATTTAGGTCTTATTCTCTCACTCTGCAAGGTTCAAGCTTGAGCAAGGAAGAAAGAAAACATACAGAGCAAGCCATTTATCACAGCTCAGACAGACGTCTGAGAAAGATCAGCAATCTTTCTTGCATACCAAATCTATAGTAGTTTGTGCATTTTCTCCTTACCTATCTGTACACAACATTGGAGCAAACTATTATTATCCTGTTACTGCTGAATGTTTGGCTTTAGCCCAGCCATCAATATTTTGTCCCCCTTTTTCCCCTCTTCTTTCTTTTCAACAGTTGCTGCTGAGACAATTTATTTGTAGCAGAACAGCAGAGAACAACTAATTCATCTCTTAGTAGACTTTATTTAAAATCTCTCTTGAAACATCAAGCCTTCTTCAACCACTAGCTGCTCAAGGAATAACTTACTTTCTCTGGCAACTTTCATCTAGAGACTCCAGCCCCAATTTGTATCACTTGACTGGATGACTACATGCAATTGTGGACAAGGAAACAAAAGTACAGAGAAATTGTAAGTCTGATTCTGTAAATCACTGGTTATTCTATCTAATGACTGTCTTGACCATGTTTTGCCTGTTCTCTGTTCATCACTGACTTCTTTTTTCTGTTTTCTGACACTAAACCCTCTAGGTCTAGTAAGTTGTCTTTCTCATCACTCAGTACTGGAGGATTCAGAGGCTTCCATCATCAAGTGAGTTCCTGCCAAACAGAAACAAAGATGGTTCCTGGCTGGAGTGCCAGTGTCTGACACAGAAGGGGAGACTCTTTCATGCCAGTGGAAGTACTCATGAAGTTTGGTGTTACTGAAGGTCCTGGGACATTGAAAACTGCTACAGAAAGAGTGAATCCCTTCAGATACAAACATACTGCATCTGCCTAAGAGGAACAAACACATTCCCAAGCAGAGAAAGACCAAGAGCAAGACCTGTTCCCTCTCCTGCTAATGGGGATATCCCATAGGAGCATGCTTGGAGGTGGGTAAATCTGACTGCAGTTCTGTGGCCACCAGAACAGCTTCCACCAGCTCTTCCCTTGCTGGCTCCAAGGCCACACCTTGGTACAGCTGTCTGGGCAGTCTGGGCAGCTTGGGGATGCCCTTCTGCCATCACCACTCAGTCTGCCCCCAAGTCTGGTTGTTTTAGAAGATGTTTATGGTTGGGATTAGCCCCGGGTTTGTATTTGGGATTGCTGTACCAGTATTTTTCTTTCAGTTAACATAAGTGAAATGGTACAGGTCTGCAAGAGGAAACCCTAGAGGAGATACAATTTTAATGATGTCTAAAAACTTTACTTACCCTGATGTTTGCTAATTTCCTTCCTTCCTGTTATGGATAATAAGTCATACTGACACAGCGTCAGAATGTCTGCTCTAGAGTTCAGGACAGGGATGGCTGGGTGCAGTTAAGGATATAACTGGGGTGGGATGAGGTAAGGGACCTGCCTGAGTGTATCTTTAGGAATCTCATGGTCAAGATGCAACACTGTCTCCTTGGATACCTGGAATAATCAGCCATTTGCTATGAGGGTTGTGTCACATCTCTTGGATAAAGGACAATAGGAGGTTTCAAACACTGATGGCTTCCATTCAAGTGGGAACACATTAGGACAATGACACGCCTGAACCTAGGGAAGGCAGCTCAGCCAAACAAGTCTGCAGGGACTGCTCTTAGAACAATGCAATTTCCCTAGAAGAACAAAGAGATCAGATGTTCACCCTGGCTCAACAAAGAACCAAGTCACAGCAGTCTGAAGGGAACTTGCAAGGCCAACTCCTCTGCTCCAGACATCTAGAAAAAATACCCTCTTCCAACCAGAACAGCTGTACCAGACACTTCTTGTAGATGTATTTTCAGTGATCTAAAAAATCTGCTGTGTGCTCCCAAGGGATGTTCCAAGAGTGCTGAAGAACTTGAAGCAAGGAACTGTGTGCAGCTCTTTTATTATTTTCACTAAACCCACATATTCCATATAGCAGTGAAGTAAAGTGCTCTGGAACCCTGATATGATGACTGAGTTGTTGCTTCAGCTATTGTGTCACTACCAACAAAGAACTGGTTCAGAGCGTTCCCAGTTTGTTGAGCTGAAGAAGAGGTCACTGGAGGGTCTGCCCAGGATAAAGACATTTGGAGGGACCAGCAGATCTCTAAAAGCTGAGTGAGCAACTTGGGCATCCATTGAAGTGATGGCACAAAGCCAGTACTGATCATCACACTTGTATTCCAATTAAAAGCAAATGAACTGTTTGTTTTACAGATGCCAGGTTTGCTTCAGTCTCTGGCAGAATAATGAGCAGAAAAATGATCTTTGCAACACTATCTCTAGACCTTTTTTATTTTTTCTCCTATATCTACCTCTCCTTCTTATACTCACTGTGCTGGACAGCATTGTTTCAAATTCATCAGGTGGCACACAGAACCAACACTGATTTTGCTTTTTTTGCTGCTCTCAGGTTCAGGATGAAATATTACTACTTTGAGACTCTGTTGGGACAGACTCACAACAGGGAACTCCAGAAGTCACCTTGTTCCCAGACAAAATACATATTTGTATTTGATATCACAAAGTTGTACACCTGTGCTCAGAAGCAGATCTTAACAGGGCAATGAGCAAAAAGGACAGTTTAATTACAATTGTTATTCCATTTGCTATTCACCTTTTTCCTTGGGTTTTGTGGAATACAAGGCAGATTTGCTAGTGTTGGACATTCCTGTGGAGACTGAAAAAAAAAATGGTGCTACTGAAGAAGCCTGTTGGAAGTATCTGCAGTGAGAACCAAAGCTGCTCCCCTGCCTGTCAGAGACCCTCTTACATGAAGCTGGTTTGCTAATTTGCCCATCCTCTGGAACCACATGAGGAATCATGAAAGGATGCCCCCATTGACAGTGAATAAGACAGTCACATGGAGCAAAGATAACAGAGGCATTAGAGGAACACATACACAGCTGATGAAAAGAAGGGATGCTTTAGAAACTCAGGCAATAGCAATACAGCAAGCAAAGCCTGGAATGCTGATTTGACAATGATCATTGTTATTTCCCTTTGCAGTGTGTGTGATGGGATCAGAAAAACAGAGGGAGCTGAATTCATCCTATGGCAAACTGTGCTGACATAAGTCACTTTGCATCCTACAGATTTGGCTTTAATTTCAAGCTGACCTCTTTAGTACAAACAAAGTGTTCTTCAAGAATGACACTGAATTAGAAACTGCTTTAAGTATTTCTAGAGACTAGCACAATACACTCTAATTAAAGACATTATAATCAGTGAATTGATTTCTTTTGCTTTGACTTCACTTTGGCTTATTTATTTATTTATTCATTCACTTTGGAAAGGTCTGAAAGTCAAATTCAATTTTGTCATTTGCTCATGCTGGGAGCTGTGCTGCTCTTCTGGAAATGACATGGAAGTTCTGGTAATGGGATTCCAAAACCATCAAGCAATATTCACTATTTAAGGGCCGGTTCAAATATAAAAGCAGTTTGTATTTCTGCACCACAGGCACATCTGCAAAGTCTTTGGGGAACAGAGAAATCTGTTTTCTCCTTATTGGCTTGGCCTTTCATTACTGACAAGTCAGAAGGAATGGCAGGCATTCTTCAAAGAATAAAGGAAAGGTTAAATGTAAATAGAGAAGTGTGTGCTTTTTATTTGTTTAATTTTGTATTTTTAAACACATCTCAGTGTGTAGAACTGAAAGAACTCTTACAAAGGCATTGTTTACTCAGACAATGTCTAAAGTTGAGCCAACCTATGGCAGTGTGCATTAACAATGGCCAGGAACACCTCTGTGACCCACAGGCAGAGAACCACGGTGGATACTGGCAACTCTAAGTCCACCTACACACCACCCTGTGAGAGACAATCAAGCACCGTGCTAACTAGCCAGGTAAGTTTCTCTTTGGTGACTGAGGAAGCTCAGGTCCATAGATGTCTGGAAATCACATTTTCAAGTGCATCCTCTAGCTTCAGGTGTCTCAAGTGCCCAGCTTAAAGTGACTGATCTACCAGGAGAGGCTCAGACACAGGCTCTGTCTGAACTCAGTGGCAGCTGCATCTCTGAGCACCTTTGAAAAAATTAGTCTGAGTCAATAAATCTCACAGGCTTTACTTGAGGTCAAGAAGACGGGCTAAAAATGCCCCAGAAAAAAAACTACTTGTGCTTATCTAGGCAGTGACAAGAACGGAGGAAGTATCCAGAAAAGTCCACGGCAATACAGACCACAGAGGAAGAAGGTCACCTCTGAAGTTCCCCAGGCCCTTCAGGGGCCTCAAAGGAAATGTCTTGACTTCTCCTCCTAACTTTCCTTCCCTTTCCTCATCAGCCTCTATTCTTAGCAGCTTTGTCTGAGATCTGGGAACAGAACATGGTTTCTTAATTCCTCACCTCCTGTTACCTCATATTTTGTCTCAGAGTGCTCAGGGTGGAGGCAGAGGTTTATGCCTTGCATGGAGCTGTTTATGTTTACACAATGACTGTTTTCCCATTAAGTAGGGTTTCTTTGGCTGCTGGGACATGCTATAGGCATGAGATCAGTCCTGTTTGGTTCAAAATGATTTAATTCCTCCAAACAACATTACACAGTGCTGAACATGCCATGCCTTGCATAGCTCTTAAGCGTTGCATTCAGCAGTGAGCACTTGAGCCAAAGAGTTACCCATTTCCATGGTCCACAAACCCTGCTGTTGGCACAAAACATGAAAACGACACCAGAACATACTGCTTTTTCTTCCCTGCTGCATTCAGCAAGACCACTTAATTACACTTTAAGATGGAACTGGCTCAACAAGTTGGGCAGCTTGCAGGGCTGCTGGCCAGGGAAGCTGCACCTGCACTGCTGCCAGCAGGCAGCAAGAGAAGATGACACCCAGGCCCCAGCCCTGCTGTTGGGTGACTTCCCAGCCAAAAAAAAACAAGTGGAAAACATTGTCTTTCTTCTTCCTTAGTCCCATTACTCCTTACTCCATCTACCCCATCTAATCATTATGACATTTGAGTGCCTTTGTGTGTCAGCTTCCTTCGAAGTAATCACCTAAATCCCCCTCTGAAACAAAGCAGACCCTGCTGAGGAACTCACAATAGGTGCCTTTCACTGGCAGGACAACCTTGGCCTCAGTGGCACTTACAACAAAGCTTCCATATGTGCACCAGTATGGGCTGATCAGTCAGATCAACACCACACAGGATCAGAGCCTGGGTATTTGTGAGCATGAAGCAATAAAGCCTGACAAAATTTCTCCATCTTCCTGAAAAAATAGTTTTTGGTGTTTTTGGGTTTTATTTTTTTTATTAAGCTACAGCACATTAATCTGCAACAGACTTTTATCCACATTTATGCCCCTGTTTAAGGAGATAAAAAAGAAGCACCAGCTCCAAAGGGTGATGTCTGTCAGTCATCCCCACTTTCAGAGACTCCCTGGCCATTGTCTGCTCTTCAAGCCCAGGCTAAAGCTACTTTTTAATATTTCCTTTGGCAGACATCCTGGGTTTTCCCCCTCCCTGGGGGAGGGATCAAGGGCTATAAGTTCTATTCTAATGGAAGACAAGTCACTGATAGTCTTTGGGCATCTGCAGTGAAGAGGTATTTCTACAGCTCTAGCTGGGATTAGGCACATAATGGATCAATGAAAGATCCCACCGTTTGACGATTATAGCATCATTCATTAGTGTTAAGATTTGAACCTGAATCAACAATCGAGTTAGAAGATTGAAAGAACTGCTTTCAGTATTTGAAATAAATTGTAACAGGCCTGTAAAAGTCCCCTGAGGTGTCTCTCTTTCTCTCCCTACACATATATACAGAGAGATCAGTTTTGCTGAACATTTAAAATTAGATAAAAGTTCCTGAGCTTCTACATAGGAAGAAGAAAAGCAGAGCTTATGTAAAGTGAAAGGGGGCAAAATAATGTATTTTTGGTTTGCCTATAAAAGCACTTCAAGAGCATTCTTGATTGCAGGATCCAGGCACTGACTTGTTATTCAGTCACTTACCATCTCTCTCATATATAACAAT